ACACCCTCCTCACCACCAATTTGGATCACTTGTTGTTCCCTTGTCCCTAGGTTTGTTAACACCACTACCTTTCCCTCCACTTCCCCCTCTCCCATGCCCTCCTGGAACTGTCAGTCCCATTGTTTTCTCCTCCAGATTGTTCATCCAGCCTATCATATTTAGACAGACCGGCTGAGATAATAGGATGCACAAAAACAAGACAGAGCAAAACCAAGCAACAATATACAACAAAACAACAACAAACCAATGACAAAAAAACAAATCAAAACACAACAAGAAAGAAAAGTTGTAGTTAGTTCAAGGACTGTTTGTTGGCCTTAAGGAGTGTGTTCCAGTCCAGTCTGTTGGGGGCACCATGCCCTGGCCCCAAAGTCCACCTTCAGCATTCCCTGGGGACCTCACCACTTCATTCCCTTTCTGTTCTGTTGCACCCCCTTAGTGTTTTGCCTTGGTGTGGTGGGATCAGATCGGGTGTAATACCCACACTATGTCTCTGGTGTTGTCCCCTATAGGGCTATGGGTTAGTGAGGGGCGTCATGTCTCATAGTGGGGCCGGCCATGTGGTCCTCTTTATGGACTGGCTGCTCTAATTGGAACATCATCTCACGGCCTGGTGGGCCAGGATGTGCTCCACTCTCTCCTCCTCCCCCTTCATCTGCTCCCATGTGCTCCTACATATATGTCTTTCTCCCAGAGCTGCAGATTCAATGCCGTCCTTTGAAATAAATTCTTCTGGGGGGAGAGGCAGGTGTCCACTTAGCAGTTGGGATTGGGGCCAGCCCCCCAGACTTTTCCACTGGTATGTTGCATTCATATCTTGAAGCACTGAGTTGAAGTCTGGTCCCTCCTTCCCTGTGGAGATATAAACAATACCCTCCCCTTGGGTGGGTTAGTGCCCTGTGCCCCCACTACCAATTTCTTTTTTTATTTTCCTTTCCCCATCTCCTTTTTTAGTTGTCTACCATGTGTATCCCTTTATTTGGTCTGGACCCTGCCATATTACCCGGTCCTTGCCCCAGGAATGTTTGTGTACAATAGCTTTTTCCCTATGCCCCTTTTTGCATTTTTTTTTAAAGCTTACCTCAGCGGACTCATGTTGCACTTGTCCTTTTGTGCTTGGCTTACTTCGCTTAGCATGATTTCTTCCAGTTCTTCCCATGCAGCGATGTGCTTCATATGTTCATCTCTGCTTTTTAGTAATGCGTAGTACTCCATTGTATGTATATATCACAGATTTTTAATCCAATCGTCGGTTGATGGAAATTTGGGTTGTTTCCAACTCCTTGCAATTGTGAACTGTGCCGCAATGAACACTGGAGCACAGATGTCTGGCCTTGGTTTGTTTCTTGCCTCTTCTGGGTATATGCCCAGTAGGGG